ACATTTACCACAAATTAAATGTATCTTATATTATTAGATATATTATTATAAAACATGCTTTGGTTAAGGAGTTATTGATACTTCAAGTGCAAAATGATGATATAAAACCATGATAAAAATACATTTTTAAGTACTAATCAATCATACAGGTTTTTAACCATACAACTGATATCATATTCAGTATAAAGGTTGTCCAACCTGGTAGAAACCCTTTCCTCCTCTAAAACCAAGAAAGGTTTTTCATTTACACCTACCGAGGGTGTCTTCCAGTAGTGGGTACAACCTCAGATCCTTTCTCTTTACTCTAAAGGTTGATTTTCTTCAGAAAAGGAGTCGCCACTAGGAAAAGGTGAGACACGTAACTAGACATAAATGAGGTAGACACATTAAATTTGGATCATGATGGTCTCATGTAAAGACCCTGCAACAAAAAACAGTTAATAAAAGAAAAGTGTTGAAATTAAAAAAAAACATATGAAAGCAAAATTACTTGAAACACCATATAGGCTTTTAGCCATACAACTGATATTATATTCGGTATAAAGGTTTTCCAACCTGGTAAAAACCCTTTCCTCCTCTAAAAACAAGAAAGGTTTTTCATTTACACCTGCCGAGGGTGTCCTCCAATAGTGGGTACAACCTCAGATTGGGTTATACCCATCTTGAGGTCAAGTTATTGTCCTCCAATAGTATACCTCACTATTACATACTACTCCCTCCATTTTTTTTTTTTAATAGAGAGGACCTTCCTTTCATGGTACTTTTCATTGGTCCATTTCATCTATTGACAAAGTTAAAAAACTAAAGGATTAAAGGCCCTTATTCAGTGCTACTAATCAAGGTATAACAATGCTTAAATTCCCTAATCGTAAGCTCCTCATTCAAAATCCTTAATAATTTTTTAAATAAGGATAAAATAGTTCATCTATTGGGATGAATCTGAACAGGACTGAGATTGTAATACCTCAGAAAAACCCTTACAAATCCTTGTAAAGGAAATGAGTATTCAAATATACATATGGGGTTGTAATAATAATATCACCCCCATCATATTTGCTGGTGACCTGAGAGATACAGTCACCAGCTTCAGGGATAATTATTGTATAATTTCCTGGCCGATTAGCATTAGCCAAGGATATATAGTCTCAAGTCATTAAACTCTGTATTTTATCCACAAGAGTCTTGGGCAATCTTAGTTGTCTTATTATGCTTGAAACCCCTCGAGGAATATCATAATCTCTTCTTCTAACAGAAGAAGGTTAGGCACCATCCATCTCAGATCTAGGGCCAATTTTTATGGCTAGAGATTTGCAACGAGTGATTTTAGTTTCAAGGCTAAAATTGAAATCACCTTCAAGAGATATGTTTCCCCTTCTTTTTTTTAGAAGTCATAATAATAGAAAGAAGAAAAGACTGAAGAAGGTTTTATGAAACTTAAGGAAATAAAATCTAGTTTAACTAGATAATGAATTCCTCTCTACTGTCAAATTACCCTCTTTTTATAAAATATTGAGAATTTTTAATTCAAAAAATACTGGAAAAAGGGTTTAATAAAAGTACAAGAAGAAAGGAATATAGAATGCAAGGCATATAACACCTCATCTATAACCCTAGAAAGGTCAAAAGTCTACAATATTTATTACACACCGTCAAGTGTTATTCCCAAAAACCTTTTTCTTTTCTCTATAAATATTTTTAGACCTATAATGCCTCATCGTCTCTTCTCAAAAGACTACAAGACATCTACTACCTAATTGTCTTCCTCAAAATCTCTTAAGCCTTTAATGTAAGATTATACATTAAAGGTTTGAGGGAAACTAATGAGTTAACTTTTTGGTTAAGATTTTTATAAAATTCTTAATCATCTTGAATAAAATCGATCTACAAAATATATCAGACTCAAAGTACTTAGCCTTGGCAGTTAGTCAAGCCTAGAGTAATGTGGATCAAATAAACATAGACTTAAAGAACTTGAGCTTGGTAGTTAGCCACACCCAAAGTAACACAGGCAGTTAGTCAAGCCTTATATAATATGCGTCTTGCAAACATGTCGGACCCAAAGAACTTGGTAGTATCTAAGTCTTAAGACTATAAGTCTAATTGTGGAAAATTCTCTAAAATAAAAATATAAAAGACATGTTAAACCACCATGTGTATACTCATAGGTCTATACAAGGTCTTTTAAAGGACCTGTCATACTTACTATCTCATTAATGATATGTAAGAGAAATTTATCTCTCATTTATATAACTGAAAGTAAAAAGTTTTTCGATTCTTCTTTTATCTAAAAAGATAAGGTTTAGGGTATATAAATATTTTTAGAATCATCCAAGTAAAAGGTCAGAACTTTTTAATATTTTCAGATAAAAATATATAGATTTCAGAGCATTAGCTAACTTAAAACTCAAGAACAAATATCATTGTTCCTTGAATTTAAGACTCTTTTAAGTTATTTATTTTCTTAAGTTGTTTAATATATTTTTCATAAATATACTTTATCAGAGGCTTTTTAAATTCCTTATTTAATATTATTTTTTCAAGTACTCAAACTTATTATATTATAATTAAGCCTCGAGTTTTTTAAATTAAAAAAAAATAAATACTTGATTAATCTCTCTTCTAAACATTAAATAATAAATTAAAAATTGCAAACCTTATTTTTGAGTGCATGGTTAAAGGGCGACAGAATGCGGCCACTTGCGTTGCTAGCTAATTAAAGAGATGTTTTGCCCGGCTAATATATGCTGTTAATTACTACTAAAAGAATGTTTGTTTTAATTTTTATAGTTAAGATTATGATTAAATACAATTTATTTATGTATAAAACTCAACCATAAAAACTAATTTTTTCTACTTTTCTTAACTTTTTTAATAAATCCCACACTCAAACCACAACTCACACCTCAAACACAAACACACACTAAATTTTCATTTGGCTGTGGGATGGGATAACGTTAGATGGCACAATTTTATGAAAGAGAGATGGTCTAGCTAGCTATCTACCTACCCAGTGAAGATAATCATGCGCGCGCACCTCCATTAATTTTAATTTGAACATTTCAACTCACGCGTGAAGGTTGACGCCAAGAAAATGACTTTTTTAATCAGTTAATTTAGTCTTTGGAAAAAAAAAAAAAAACAATGATGATGAGATAACGCAACCTAATATGACAACTATTACAGCAAACAATTCGTAAGAGAAAATGGAAATACAATGTCAACATGTAAGAGATATATATAATAGAAAGTCCATATACGAAGTAAGTGGTTTCTTTATTACTACTATATTTTAATACAAATTACAAGCCAACTTCTCTTAACCTCTTTCTTATGTTGTCTCAATGTGAGATTGGTAAGATATGAGGGAGGTCTTACGTGGGGATGAATCTAATGCTCAAATTGACTTGCAGCTTAATTAGCCCTTTGTCTTTATATAATCCCTCTTGTTCAATAATAAACATTATCCTAAAGGGATCCATGATCCAATCTAGAAAGGTTAGATACTAAAGGTAGATTGGTGTAGGAAAGCAATTAGGTTTTCTTGAAAATGATTTCAGGGGACTCCTCTTGCTTCCCTAGTGGCTCCTCACAAGGCTTTCATATGTATCAAGCTGTGACAGAAGATGTTGTTTCTTCAACTCGTGAAGCAAGTTCCAGCTCAGAGACTCATTCAAATTCTCTTCTCTGCAATCTCTCCCTTCTCAAAGACAAGGTCCATCAAGTGGAGTCGTTGATCAGCATCCTTATCGCACCTGATCATAGCCAACCTGAAGATAAGTCAACTTCGGTAGCTTTAGCCAACATGAGCACCATGATTCAAGAAATAATTGTCGCTGCATCTTCAGTGATGTTCACATGCCAACAGATGGGTATTGGTAACGATATTTCAGGCAATATCAACACAAATGACTTGCACCAGCCGCGTGGCTGCAAGGCTGAAGAAAGTTCCTTGTTATCACAACCAAATTTTGGTGGCCACCATGCTGGTAACATCGGAGAAGAAAGAGGGCAAAGCTTCTTCTCTCCCGAATCTTTTAACTGGTGCAGTGATAACTATAATGATAACTGTAATACTAATGAGAATATTCGAGGAATTCATGTTAGCAGCAATAATAGGGTTGATATTAGGAGAGAAATATTGTCTCAAGGGGGTGAAGGTATTTTACAAGGGCAATCACCAAAGAATTATGATATCATCGAATTGGATGCAGCCGATTTATTAGCCAAGTATACTCATTATTGCCAAGTCTGTGGAAAAGGGTTCAAGCGTGATGCTAATTTGAGGATGCACATGAGAGCCCATGGTGATGAATACAAGACTACTGCAGCTTTGAGCAATCCGATGAAGAACAATCCAACTGCAACGCCAGAAAATAAAGAAGCTTCAATGAAATTGCCTAGAAAATATTCGTGTCCACATGAAGGGTGTCGGTGGAACAGGAAACACGCCAAGTTCCAGCCACTGAAATCCATGATTTGTGTAAAAAATCATTACAAGAGGAGCCATTGCCCCAAGATGTATGTTTGCAAGCGTTGCAATAGGAAGCAATTCTCGGTGCTGTCTGATCTACGGACTCATGAGAAGCACTGTGGGGATCTCAAGTGGCTATGCTCATGTGGTACAACATTCTCAAGGAAAGATAAGCTTATGGGTCATGTTGCCTTGTTCTTTGGGCACACTCCAGCTATAAGTGGCTTGACAAGGCCTAAAAAATTCGAGAACCAGGCAATGCAAATGCATCTAGATCATGATAGGTAAGTAATATATAGGCTTTTCTTAATTTCTTCTGGTTATACATGACCTTAATTACGTACGTAATATACAAAAAGAGATTAATAAACACACCATTTTTGTATCATGGCTAGCTATGTAGGCACATTTAATTCAAGAAACAACATGTATTTAGTGCTGTACGTGTTCGTATTCATGTTTTAATTAGATTTCTCGTGCTATGTATTTATGGAGAGTACTACTAGACTTCACATGTTTTTGTCTTGCCAAGGTGATAATCATCTTTTATTTATGTACACTTGCTATATTTTAGGGGATGATGAAGCAACTATATGCATGGAACCCTGCTCCTTTGTGGGAATTCATGTCCTTCAGAAAATGGCCTTGTAATTTCTTGGACATGCATGACTCGGCGTGGGAGATCAGTAGTTGCAATTGATGTCGACAAGCTCATATTGTATATCCATATATGACAGTACAGTGTTAGATTTGAATTATTAATATTATTATTTTTTTATTTTTTGGGAGAATCAATGTTAACTTGTTCGTGTTCATGTAAATGAGTTTAAATGATGTGATGAACAATGTAGTATATATCAGCATGTCCTTTGAAAACACAGGAACTCTAAAGATTAACGATTGTGCACTCAATATGCATGCTCGACATGATAATACTTTATATACATACATTCCATAGCGTAGTATGTATTAGCATGTAGTTGACTTGAACTACATGCAAAGATTTAATGAAGATATTTAGATACTTGCCAATTATAGATATCATCGAAGTCGATAAGCAAAGGAAGAAATCCTCCACAGTTTGAGAAGGAAAATAAATTAATTTTTGATTACTAATTTTTATAATTTTAAGATCCTCATTCAAGAAGTAAAGAATTTAAGAATCTTTTAATATTTATTTTTTCTTTCCACATCAACAATCCCTCAATATAAACCAATAGTGTGTTTGGTAATGCAATAGCTGTGATAGCTATAATTTGAAAAAAATTATTTTATGAAATATACTTTTAATTCTGGTTGGTTTGGAAAAATATATGTTTAGTTAAAATTATGATTGAAATTGAAATTGAACAAAAAATAGTTTAATGTGTTTGATTAAGAATGATTTTGAAATTGAGGTTATAAATAATTTTAAAAGTATATATTAATATTTATGATTTTTAATTTAAATATTTTAGATTTAACTATTGCTATTATATCATAAAATAAATAATATTTTATATAAAATATTTTTTATTGTTCCATTAAACTATCTACAATTCCATCAATATGAAATACATCTGACAAGGACTATAATTTTCATAAAAATTTTAAGAGCGCAACAACATTAGGTAAAATATAATCACGAATAAAATTGGGATTGCGATTAAATTCTGCAAATGTTATGTCATCAAACGATCTCCGTCTAATTTATGTAGTGTCATTGAACAATATTTAACACTAGTTTTTTGAATAAAACATAATTAAAAATAAATTTCTTTTAATTTTGTTAGGTCGGACCAGTTCAATGCATTTTTAGCTTTGAACCGAGTTAGTCGGGTTGGAATAGTAAATAATATCTCAATGTTCACGTGAACAGTGAAGCACGCTCCACTATTCATTTAAAGAAAACCCATGAATATTGAACAATGGAGACATTCTCTACTGTTCATTGAAGAAAACCTATGAGCAGTGGAGTCATGCTCCACTGTTCATGAATTTTCTCAAACTCTCAGCACAAAAAGCAGCAAATTACTGCTTCTTATAAACTTGTGGCATAGCCATAGTTGATGGTAGGTCCCATCAATAAAAATTTATTTTTTAAGCATTACCACATGTTTGTTTTGTTGTAGTTACTTCAAATACAGAAGCAACCACGCAAACAAACGAACCTAAAGCCTAGAGGAAAACAAACAAACAATAAACAACACTAGAAAAACATTATCCAACCCTAGAAAACCAAGAGAGAAAAGAAAAAGGATAATTATATTGAGGCTCATGTAGTTCGTTTATTTCCTTCCTTTCTTACCAACTCCACCATAAAATAAAAAGTGACAATAACTCGAGAAGATACTTCATCGAACTCTAATAAGTATGTAGGGATTTTAAAGGACCCTCTAACATAGCACGAGTTTGTTGCTTCAATAACCTTATGCATGTGCCTCATCTTAACCAAAAAAAAAAAGTCTTTTATTCCGTGCAAAACTCTCTTCTCTACCTCCTTTCTCTGCAACTCACATTACTCAAATTGAGCCTAAATATCCCTTAATTGTCCCAATTGGTTTGATACAAACCCAAACACTTTTTACTTGAATCCATTTAACGCCTTTCTCTTCTTCCTCAAATTAGACACATTTAGGTTCACCTCTTCTTACATGAAACCATCATTTTCATCATTCTTTATTTTATCATCACCATTATAATTCTTCTTCATATCTTCCCCTTCATAATTAAATCTCAAACTCAATACCCCATTCTCGCTTATCAATCCTAGTAAAATCCCCATATATTAAATTACTTAGTTGGCCAAACTCCTCATCTTCATTCCTTTAACACTCACTAACGAATCCCCACCATTTTCCATATTCTCACTCCCTAAAAATATCATAATATATGAAATTCTTAAAGCTTTTGAATGGGAAAATGGGTTTTGAAATCAATTTAAGGAGCTTTTTTTCTCTAACTTCAATTAATGTTCTAAGCTAGGAAAGGTGATTGATACTTAAAAGTATATTTTTTATCAAGGTTTTATATCATCATTTTGCACTTGAAGTATCAATAACTCCTTAACTAAAGCATGTTTTATAATAATATATCTAATAATATAAGATACCTTTAATTTGTGGTAAATATTCATTTTAAATGCAGGCCTATCACATAAATGAAAATATTGATTGATGACTTTAAGAACTTAAATTGCAAGGATAAAGAGATGGCCAAACTTAGAAAAGAGATGTCGGTGCAATCCAAACCGGAACACTGTTCGGTAATTGGGTCATATCTAGAGCTATATATCTCAGATTTAGGTCCAATTTATATGGATGGAAAGGTAAGACATAGGCCTACAACTTTCATATGGAGCCCAAGATCTAAAAAGGCCATTATCAAGTCCAAATTGTAGCAACAACAAAGAAGCCCGAATCTGTCTTCCAGCCCGAGCACTGTTCGGTATTTTGGCCATTGTTCAGTATTTTGGTCATATCTGGAGCTGTAGAAGTCAAAATGATCTGAATTTTTTTACACAAGAAAGCTGAGACAATTGCCTACAACTTTCATGTTTGCAACTGGCTCCAATTTTGACGTTATCAATGACGTTTTGGGCAGACAAGAGAAGATAAGGATTGTCACCAAGTCAAAAGTTGGTCACCCACTTATCAATTAGTCATCAAATCAATAGTTCCCATTTTTGGCCTATAAAAGGAGGCATTTGCCATGCATTTAGGCATCTTGGTGTTCAGATCAAGATCATGCTCTTCCTTTCTCTCTTTGTATTTTTTGTAATGTTTATGCTTTGCTTTCATTAATATCAAGTTTATGCCTTTCATTTCCTTTCCTTTACTTAGTTAACTTTTATGTTCTTATTTTGTTTATCTATTTTGCTTTCTTTCATTATGTCTAGCTAAGTTAATTATGTCAAGGTGAAAAGGTTACACTAATGGTGTAAGAATAAGTATAATGTAAACTTATTATTATTATTATTATTATTATTTTTATTATTATTATTACTATTGTTGTTGTTGTTATTGTTGTTTTATAATTGTTGTTTATAATTTGTACAATTAACCTCCCTGTGGTTCGACCCCGGTCTTGCCGGGTTATTTATTACTTCGACACTTCTGCACTTGGGAGAAGACATCAATCTTTTAGTCATGTCAAAAGGCGTGGATCTAAGACACATAACACCCCAATCCCAGGCAAGTACATCTTTTTATACTAATTGCATGTTAGGGTTATAACTCTATCTCTTTATACTACCACGTTTTAAATATTTTATGATTGTGAGTATCAATGTGGATTGAAAAAGTGTTAGGGATTTTGAAGAGAGAGATTTTGATATGTAATTTATTGATGTTTTTGAAATATTCTATATAAGGGTATTTTATTCCTTTCATCTAAATATAAAATTTATAAAATAATAAAGGCAAAACAAGAAAATAAATAAACTTTAAGAGACTCAATGTGATTATCCTAAAAAGAAGCAAACCAAAAAAAGCCTAGCAAACCAAAAAAAAAAAATCAGCCACTCATAAACTCTCTCAACCGATAATCATTAAAACCCTTTCTATGCTGCCTAAAAAGTATTTTTCTTTTTGCCTAAAAAAGCCATCACATAACTTAATCATCTCCTTAAACCTAGCCTCATGATCCACACATAATAGCTCCCCTCTAATGAGATCACCATAATTAGTCATGATCAAAATATCTTCCTCTCTCACCATCATCGAACACCCATGAGTAGCGGTAGTGATACTAGCCATAAAAGTCTCCATCTTTCTTTGCTCGAGCACAAGCCAACCCTTACCAGCAACAATCCCAATCAATAATAGCATTATCTCCAAGACTATCTTTATTAAAAAAAACAACCCCTATATTTTTTTATTGGAGCCATCAAATCAAACATCTAAGATACGAATTGATTAATCATATCCATCTCTTTTCTATTATGTTTCTTTATACAATAACCCTTACAACTTAGGATTGTTTTTTATCTTTTCCTAGCCAATCTAACCACAAAATAAACTAGGAAATCAAGCCCAGAGATTTTGGTAAAGGATATAAAAGACACGTGTCATCGTTCTATACATGACAGATGTGCAAATGCATTGGCCAACATGCCACCACTTCCTAGTTATATTCTAACAGTTTTCGATCAATTACAATAAGATATAATTTATATTATTTTCTAATGCATCTCCTCAAGTGAACGTCTTTTAGGCTTGAAACTTGCACAAATTTACAGTACCTTATGTTTAATTTTTATCAAATAAATAAGGATAGTGAGATCCAAACTAGTAATTGTTTGGTTATTAAGGCTCTGATACCATGCAAAGAACCATCTCAACCCAAAAATTTAAGTTGTTTGGTAAGGTCCTACCATATGATTTATATTATTCTTTAATATTAATGATCATTATCCCTTGACAGCTTCAATTTTACAAGTGGGTTTTAAAGGATTTATATGTTTTGGACTATATCGATATTGTCATTATACTAGGGGTGAGCATTTTTTGGTTTGATTAGGTTTTTACTTACAAAAACCAACCAAACTAATTTTTATTTTTTATAATTTAAAACTAAAACTTGTTCAAACTGATTATTTTCAGTTTGGTTAGGTTCAGTTAATTGGGTAAAAAATTCATAAAAACCTATATAATCGAGTTTTATTTCATGTGAAGGGCAAGTTGATGCCAACAAAGTGGAGAAGATGGAAGATGAATTGACTAGTCTAAATGGCAAGAATTTCAACCATGTAAAAGTGTAAAACAACGATCCTAACTTTTTTTTTTTAAATGGTGAGAGGACTAACAGAATTTCTACCAACTCATAAAAAAGACATGACAACCCTGAAAAGTCCATGAAATTGAGAAAGATAGAAGAAATGCACATCCTTTTTGTACAAAAAAAATGCACATTTATTT